AAGGGGTCTGAGGATCTCATCTCGGTACCTAATGGCAGTCAGGCTACCTCTGGCGAGCACATGGAGGGCTGTGCGGCCCCCTAAAGAAATGCCACCCCACACCATTACTGACCCACTGCCAAACCGGTCATGCTGGAGGATGTTGCAGGCAGCAGAACGTTCTCCATGGCATTTCCAGACCCTGTCACATCTGTCACATGTGCTTAGTGTGAATTTGTTTTCATCTGTGAAGAGCACAGGGCACCAGTGGAGAATTTGCCAATCTTGGTGTTCTCTGGCAAATGCCAAACATCCTGCATGGTGTTGGGCTGTAAGCACAACCCCCACCTGTGGGTGTCGGGTCCTCATACCACCCTCATGGAGTCTGTTTCTGACCGTTTGAGCAACCATATGCACATTTGTGGCCTGCTGGAGGTCATTTTGCAGGGTTCTGGCAGTGTTCCTCCTGTCCCTCCTTGCACAAAGGCGGAGGTAGCGGTCCTGATGCTGAGTTGTTGCCCTCCTACGGCCTCCTCCATGTCTCCTGATGTATTGGCCTGTCTCCTGGTAGCGCCTCCATGCTCTGGACACTATGCTGACAGACACAGCAAACCTTCTTGCCACAGCTCGCATTGATGTGCCACCCTGGATGAGCTGCACTACCTGAGCCACTTGTGTGGGTTGGAGACTCCGTCTCATGCTACCACTAGAGTGAAAGCACTGCCAGCATTCAAAAGTGACCAAACTATCAGCCAGAAAGCATAGGAACTGAGAAGTGGTCTGTGGTCACAACCTGCAGAACCATTCCTTTATTGGGGATATCTTGCTAACTGCCTCTGCTTTCCACCTGTTGTCTATTCCATTTGCACAACAGCATGTGAAATTGATGGTCAATCAGTGTTGCTACATAAGTGGACAGTTTGATTTCACAGGCGTGTGATTGACTTGGGAGTTACATTGTGTTGTTTAAGTGTTCCCTTTATTTTTTTAGCAGTGTATATATATATATATGCTACAATCCCATTTTATCAACATTACAAACTAGGAAGTTTTGAATATTTCTGAAAGCATGTCAAGAGACTATATAAGTCTTTCCCTCTCCCCATTCCAGATTTTTGTTATTTTTGTTAAGGACGAAAGATACTTTTATAATTTTTTAAATAAGTTTTATGGCTCAAACTTTATTCTGAGTAATATGATATAATGAAGTCAAGAGATATTGATGTCTGAGGTGGAATTCCAAAATATTCTGAGAAAGAATATTTTCTTTCTATAGCTAGAAAACCTAGAACTATGCCATCTTTGGTCCAATCTAAGTACAGTATATAAAAACATACATTGCAATGTCCTACCGGTCAACGAATACTTCAGTTTCAACCATAACAATACAAGAGCAAACAATAGATACAAACTCAAGGTTAACCGCACCAAACTTGATTGTAGGAAATATGACTTCAGCAACAGAGTGGTCAATGTCTGGAATACTCTACCTGACTCTGTGGTTTCTTCCCCAAACCCCAAAAACTTTAACCTTTGACTGTCTACTATTGACCTCACCCCTTTCCTAAGAGGTCTGTAAGGGGCCTGCATAAGCGCACCAAAGTGCCTACCATCCCTGTCCTATTGTTTCTTTTATTTTTCTTATATGTACTAATTCCTTGTATTCATAACTATGTTTATCCTTATACCTATTATCTTATAAGCGTTTGACAAATCAAATCAAATCAAATCAAATCAAATCAAATCAAATCAAATAAATAAATAAATAAAAGCCTTCCCTGACCTTGGTATTTTTCCAAATATATTGTTTTGAACTACCAGAATTTTTAGCAATGATCATGCTGCCAAAGGAGTTCCGGAAGTTAAAGTCTATACATCTGAAGAGTGATTGAGATTTGGAAAGTGATTGAAATTTGGAAAGAATCAGAGGTCACTGAAGGCAATACATCTGGCTAGGCTAATGCTGGCTTAAGAATTCTGGAAATTATAGCCTCAATACTATGGCGGATATTGAAGTGGGCAAGATGGTAAAGAAAGAATGACTTTTTTCTATATTTCTTCTAAAACGTTTTTTAACTTAAAATTTGCAAGAATGGTTGAGGAGGAAGCCAATCAACGCTAACAATTTCTACATCATATTAATTTTAGGGAAAGGTTTAGAAGAAAAAAAATCCCTGTGTTTGTGAATGCTGTACAACAGAAACAGAAGCATATTAATCTTTCACTTTTTTTAAATTTAGGGCAAAGAAAGGAGAAAGAAAGGGGGAAACGGGCACAGTAGATTTGGAAGGGGGTGAGGAAAGAAATCCTAAAGCATCTGCTAGTATCTGTTATGCCCACATGGTTTGTGACGAGGGTACCTTGGGAATCACCTTTCTGAAGAGTCACTACCCATCCAACTTGATCTAACAGATTGGGCATATTGCAGATCCCATCAGCCCAAGAGTGTTGGCTGGTGGGGGTGAGAAGACAGGCTTTTTGGCAGTGCCCCTTGCTCTATGGAACATCCTCCCTTCAGAGATTGGAATGGTCCTTTTGTAAGGAAGGCTCTAAAAACCTGGCTATATTCCCACACCTGGATTGCTGAATGTGCTAAGGGCCCCTTTTCCCGGTTGTATAGCTAAGTGGTCAAGTGTCTTGGCTGCTATGTATATTTAACCTGGATGTTTTTAGGGTTTTAAAACTTTTTTGGTGTTTTAATTGTAATCTGTTTTTGGAATTGTAAGCTGCCCAGAGTTTTTGATTGAGATGGATGGCTAAAGTAATTGAATCAACCGATCAATCAATCTTTGAAGTATAGGATCTCTACATAAATAGGCTTTTATGAGTTGCCTTCATAAGAGATGGGGAAGGGGGGATTGGAGGAAACAAGGGATATTTTAAAAGTGCATCTTCATCTTTCTCCTAAAATTAACTCTCAGCATTCTATATACTGACCTCTTAAAAGCAGTAAATGGTTTCTTAATATGTTAGGTCAAATATTCATTGAATTCTCTTCCACAGCTAAAGGGAAGTCTGCTTTTGTCGGAAAGAAATATTCCATGTACACAAAATGTTAAGGAAATCCCACAGTGTTGACAGGATGAAACTCAAGGGGATTTTTTTCCCCCCATCTTCCCAACAAGACAGAAAGGAATGTTATGTGACTGCTTCTAAAGTATTGAAAAGTATGGTTGCCTTCTTGCTGTAAAACACAACCCTACATTAACAGAAGGGATGCATTACGTCTCAGGGTCTATAAAAGATGTCGCAGACCCTTGACTGAGGAAGTTTACACTGCCCTCGCAGCTGATCCCCTGTTCCCCCTAGACAGATTTCCTGCCACTCAGGACAGGAATAAAACAGCATGCTCTGAACCGTCATGCTGCCTTGCAAAGCAGTCCTCACCAGAAAGATAACAGAGACCCGCAGAGAGAGGAGTGTTTGGAGCTGCACATGCTTCCTGAGCTGTCTGAGGAGCACTTCTGAAGACGAGAACAGTGGGCGGCTAGTGTACCGACAGTTTCTCTGTAATCTATATCTCTGCGTGAAAAAAAAAGAAAACACAACACCTGAAAATGGAGCACAGATCAAGCAGCCGCTGAGGGGAAAAAAACCTGCCTGTGACAGTTTGCTTTCAGTCACCCTCAAGGGGGACGCAGGAAGAAAAGTCCTTCGTCTGTCTTTGCACATGTCACTGGGGTGCTGATTGACTGTTCAAAGAGACTCTCAGGATCCATCTGAATCTTTGACAGAGTTCAGCCGGCTGATTTAAAAAAAAAAACAAGGAGAAGATGAAACTGCCTCTTTGTTTTCTCCTGAGCTGCAATCTTGTTCTAATAGCAGGCTACAACTCCTTTCGGAGAAGCCTCGAGACGCTAGGCAAGAAACAATACCAAGTCCAGCACGGATTGTGCAGCTATACTTTCCTTCTGCCTGAGATGGACAATTGCCGGTCTTCCTCCACTACCTCGTATGTCTCTAATGCTGTACAAAGAGATGCCCCGTTAGAGTACGATGATTCCATACAGAGGCTTCAGCTGCTGGAAAATATGCTGGAAAACAACACTCAGTGGCTAATGAAGGTAACAAAGAATCTCTTTTCTGCCCTGTGTAAGCAGCTCATGTTGAATAGCATTAACGTGCTCTTCTTTTGATAGTTGAGTAGGCTATTTTTCAGGGCAAAGTATTCGGATATTCTTAGTAAACAACTTTGCCAAGAGTTAATAAAATTGCATGTTGTCCCAGCCATAAGAAAAAAGAATGTAGAGTGAGGAAGCTTATTTCCTGCAGAGTCATTCATCAAATAATATCTTTTAAAATGTTATACTTTGCTTTTTGAAAAAAGTTCTGATATCAGCCATGCTGCACGTGTGGGTGACTGCATACCTCCATGCTCCTGAGTTATATCTGGCATCGCATTTTCAGATAGTCAGTTCCATCAGAATTTAGTCCCAGTTTAAATTAGATTTGGATTATATGCAGGTTACCTATTAAAAGCTACCTCGTGCACTGAAAAATCAGTAAGTGACTCCCACTCTGCAAACGATACGAACTGAAAGCACAGTACTTCTGCCTGTGCACCAGTCGTAAGGAATGAAAACCAACTGGGTATATATGGCTAAAAAGCAAGACATGTAACTTCCCTATGTGAGGTTCAAAGCATTTGGGACATAATCCCAAAAATATGAATATCATTGACCATCTTGTGGAGTAGCAAATCTATGAACTACATAATCTGAGAGTAAAGTTTTAATTATTGTCTATGACTGACAAGTAACAAGTCAAGAGCAAAAGAAGGTCCATTTTCAAGGGATGCTTACTGAACATTGAACTATATTCTTCTTCTTGGTAAAATAACATTGCATAGTGAAAGTTTATGTTTTCTCAGACTATATTTTTATGCTAGTAACTCATCTGGTTGAATGCAGGGAAATGTGAAGTATGCATAATGAAATAAATGTAAGAACAAAGTTCCTTCACAAAAGAAACCTAATGATTACATGACTAACACTGAAGATGGCTATATTTTACAGTGAGCTTTACTTCCAGGTAGGCACTGATGTCAACCTAAATTAAAACATATGGTCACATGATATTCCATGTGCTTTAATGAAAAGTCAGATTTTTTTTTTCCAAAACTAGACCCTAGTTAGATAGGTGACACTCATCCTCAGGAAGTTTAGTAAGAATTCTAGTTTGCTGTTTTGCTACAGTATGTTTCTTTATATGTTATATAACGTATAACATATAAAGATATGCTCTTTATATGTTCAAACATTCTACATATATTCTATATATATATAGAAATCTGTAGCTACGGTACATCATACAATACTGTAAAAGCATTGCACATCATTTAATTTAATGTTTAACAGTGTCTGTTTGAACTGTTCTTGCACTGTGAATGGCAATTGATAGCTGCTATAGTCAACATGCATACAAGAATTGGATTCTTCATGTCTTGTCAAATCAGCTGACTACTTTACTATATGATTTGGAAAAAACAACTGAATGGCAACACTGATATTTAATATTGTGTAATAATTAAGCATTGAATTGTTGTGGGGTGTTTATCTAATAGTGTCATTCTATATATGTTTATTAGGAGGAATCCCGTTGAAATGAATGAGATATATTTCTAAACAACTGAGCATTTTGATGGTACCATAAGCTGTAGGCATTCAGTGGAAATCACAGAGATCAGCATGTTTGTTTAAGAAAGCGAGCTAATTTACATTATTTTTTATGCTTTGTTTTTAAATGCTAACGTTAATTTCAAAAATAAAATGTGCTCTAACAACGTAACTCCCCCCCAAAAAACCCAAGGAAATTCTGGATTATGTTCAACATTCTCATGGTGCATTTGTCAGTTGAACAAAAAAACTGGATTAAAACTATTTGGATTTAGCTTCCATTATTTTTACTTTTTGCTTGTAAATCTCTCTGAAATTATTTATAGACAGTAAACTTAGCAAAGCCATGAGAACTACAGTCCTACATTTGAAGAGCCACCTTTCCATTTCTGACATTCAGTTCTCACATTTTTTTTAGCTTACAATTTGTTTAACTTAGCTTTTTGCAACCTTCTGATCTCTAGCACATACATTTAAAATCAACACTTCTATTCTGGAAAATCTGATTAATGTAGATTTCTTCCTGCTTTTATAAATATTAGTTTTGTGTTGGGAGAGCAAACACTTTTTATTACTGTCTACATTCAATTCTTTCTAACATCAATTATCTATAATGGTTTTGCTCCTAATGTCTACATCATCAAGCGGTATTACATTTCCCATCTTGAATCAATCATCAAAAGGAAGTGTTATGTTTCTGAATGGACAGTGAACTGTCTGAATGGAAGAGACTGAATTGACTATGCTTGCATTACAATAGAAAGCTGGACAATGTCAAAGCTACATCCTGGAAATTAACAGAAAATTAACATTTCACAAGTTCCTGGAAAACTACAATTGGGCACTCATGTTCTTACAGTTAAAATGAGATTAGTATTATTAGCATAAATGTGTGTAATCTCTTTTAAGCTCATGCCAAAAAGTACTAATATTTCTGATATCTTATTAAAACTAAAAACTAGCTCACGATATACAGCAATATATTTCAACAAATCCAACAAATCAGGATTTTGGGAGAAAGATAAAATATAGGAGGCTTCTAATCCTCTGTACCATATTGTTTTTTTAAAAAACACAAATCGTGGAATTTCTGTATTAGCCTCACGAATTTTGCCAAAGAATATTAATTGATGTTTATACTTAACTGTATCTAGCTTAAAATTTAATTTAAAAAATTTTAAAATTAAAATTCATTGTTCATTTTAGGGTCCATAGTACTGCAAAGTTTGAGAATCTATGGCGTAAATAATAACAATTAATGAATTTCTAAAACAGTTAACCAGATAACATAATTCTATTTCTGAACTCAGTTGCAAGCTATATTATGTACTGGCAATAGAAGACTAGGGAATCTTTTATATTTAATAAATATTCTATCAGATTGCAAGCAGGTACCAGATCCAATTTTGCAGAAACAGTTTAATCTTGTAGATGGGGGAGTAGACAGCTCCAATGACTTTGTAGCAAAGTGTAGCAAAAATGGTAGGATTTTAGGGTTGTCATGAGTGGAATTAAGTTATACTTTCAAAAATCATGAAAAACCGAGATTATGCCTAGGCATAAGACTATCTATCTATCTATCTATCTATCTATCTATCTATCTATCTATCTATCTGCTGATGATGCAGCAGCAATGAATCTGCATAAGAACCACCTTATATTTTATTCTTCTATAGTTACAGGGAGGCAGAACAACATTTGATCTCTCACATAGATGAAACCTACAGATTCTATGCTGTACCTATCCTGATTGAACTGGCTAGCATTTTATTTATGAAATGATTAATTGGCTAACTGATAAGTTAGTCAGATATTTAACCCATTCATTAGACTGATATAGTAATGAAATATATGGAAACTTTTCATACTGCTTATCTCCATTGCTGATTTCACCTGTGCTAACTTGCCTTATCTCTGATGTCTGTATATCAGTGAACCAGCCACTTGATCGTGCAGGGTTCTGGGTCACCCACAGGTATATAGGTACTTCAAATACCTAGTTTTCTACACTGCAAATGTCTATTCTGAATGTACGGATATTGGTAGATAGGACTAGCAACAGGTATGATACTGGAGATTCAGTTTAGCTAGCATTTAAGCATAGATTAAGAGCATTAATAGTTAGTGAATGATCAGAATTCTGCTGATTTGTAGTAGATTCCAGTTGTTTTTAAAGTTCACTTTATCTCCATAATAAACACAATTGACCAGGCAGTATTCCTAGCAACTTGTGAGCTATACCAGTTTTTTTTTATGATTATTCTGCCAATTGCACTAAAGTATTTGCAAGAATGTTCTAAAGATCGTTCTCACAGAGAAACAACATCTAAGGAAACATACGCGATAGAAACCATAAGATCTGCTTTAACTTTCACTCATAGTTCATATATGAAGAATAATAGGCATGTGGCGTTCATTTGATTACCAAGATGAGCATTCTGGGAGATCAACACATACTTCAGAAAAGAGGCTGAACAACTGGCTTGTTGCCTAACTCATACAGTTGGGATGCAACTGTATGGAGCCATACATGCAATATTCTTGCTAGGGCTAATTGGCAATATTATCTAGATGTCTGTCAATAGTTTCATAGCATGTGTTTTCTTTTCTTGTGGACTCCAGAATTCTAAAATATTGTACTTGATTTAGAGGTGTTTTCAGTTAAATGGTAGTTGGATTTACTGCAAAGTGGCCTTCGGGTCACTAGACAATGAACCTGCCAGGACAGAAGGTAGGGCCAAAGCAGAATTTCCTTCCTGTCCTTTAGGTAACCTCCCCTTCAGCTGCAAGATTTGTGTGTTATTTTCACGGTTACTGCTTAGAAAATACGTAATACAAGTAAAACCAATTTATCCAACTTATTTGGATATATCTAAATGAATACCACAGTATTCTCTAAAAGAATGGAACGCCTGGTGTTCTGCACTTCGTGCATTTCCTTCCAATATCCTTGGAAGTTCTAATCGGTCATCGGTTGGGTATTTAGAAATGAGAGTTAAATTGAAATATGTTGACTGCTATCTGGAGGGCAGATGGGGCTTGTTGACAAATGTGCAGGTGTCTGCTTTGCTGACTTCATTCCAAAACCAGAGTTCAATAATAGGAGACAAGGATGAATTAAGCCTTCACCTACTGATCCTTGCATGTCATTTTGACCCTGTCAGAACTAGAGGAAATGTGATGATTGGGCTTACCACTGAGATGTTCTCCTGCAGTTGCCTATGCTGTGTGTGTTTACAAACAAGTTAATAACTGGTGTTCTTCACTTCTCTGCAATCTGCAGCAATACATTTGGATATAGTTTCCACTGTCCCCAAAACAAATTTGGCTTATTAGTTGACTATGACACTTGTGGTCCCTTTGTGCATTCTGCAACTATTGTTGGGAGATTTCTGAAGATGTTTTGAGCCAAGTTGCTTGTCACTGAACCGTAACTTCTTGGATCTCAA